CCCCCCATGAGTGCGCAATCGTGGTTGTGGTTGGCACACACCGTCTTTCGCCGAAACGCCCGTCCCGTCAGCCCATCAGCACTCAGTCGACAGTCGACTGCTGATGCGCCGGCGATATGGACATCTCAGAGAGCAAGGTGCGTCAACCAATCTTTCTGCGGACGTACAGAAACCAAACAGCACTCTTACTTACATTTCATTTCATGTGCGCCACACACCACCGCAGCACTGATGTGTACCAGCCGCTGGACACCGTGACGACTCAGCCTTTGGCCTGGCTGAGCCGTCCAGGTGTCCTTCCACTGGCCAATCAGGAGCTGGAGTTGCGAATGGACACAGCAGTGATGCATTGTCACCATTCGGCCCCCACACATGCAAACAGACATGCAGACACACATGCAGGCAGACGGGCAGACAGGCCGGCGATCTGTCTCGTCAGGTTCTCTGTGCGAGGGCAGCTTGCAGCTCCTGGTCGCTCTTCAGACCTGATGCATCCACACACACACACACACCCCATGACCACTCACAATGCCAGCCAGGTATGCGTGTGGGCGTCCTGGTGTGGCTCCGTCAGTCGAGTTGTACCCGAGAAGAGTTCATCGAAGCTGTTGCCTCGCCGCTCAAACCCTGAGTTGGGCGGGAAACCACCCTACACACACAACACAACACAACACAGCACAGCAGTCACGTCCCCCTTGGCCCCCTGTATGTGTGCGTGTGTGTCCTCCACTCCACCGGCGCACCTCTAGCGGGAAGCGGCCCTCGGCTTTGTAGACCTCCATGGTGACGCCCCGCGTGTAGGGGCTGAACAGCGCAGACACCGCTGTCGCCGCCACGTCCGCACGCGGGATTTCAGAGAAGAAGTAATCACCTGCACGAAGACACATGTCGCGCGTGGACACCACTCACTGCACACCGACGGAGACCTCCGCCTTCGTGTGTGTGTGTGTGTGTGTTGCACACGACCTTGGTTGATCTCCAGCTGAGAGGGTCCTGCTGGCTCGGCATCGCGGAGACCGCCAGGGCGGATGATGGTGTAGCTGGCAGACAGAAGGAACCAATCGACCTGTGTCAAGTGGGTGTGCGTGTGTGTGCCGCTGACTAATTCACCACTGCATACCTACCTCTGGTTGGGCTTGGCGCTGCTTTTGTAGAGTGCCCTGAGTGCATCCTCGCCCTTCCTCTTGTTGCCCATGATGTCGCCCTTGTCCAGTGTGAGGAAATTGGTAAGCTTGTACCCCACAGAGTCGGGCCGCGTCACCGCGCCACTCGATAAGAGCACCAACCGCTCAACGCCCTCCTCCAGACAAGCCTTGGCCACATTCTCAACGCCCTGTCGACAACACACACCCATACACACGCTGTGAGGCGGGCTGTCTTGTCAGCTGACCCACCAGGTAGTCGACGGCAGCGGCCTTGCCGCCAGCTTTGGATGCCGACGCGGCGAAGATGACCCCCGAGCAGCCGCGGACGCCCTGCCGCACACTGGGAAGGTCCTTGACATCGATGGCTGATGTGCTGACGAGGTCAGACGAGGAGGCCGGGGGAGGGCCGCGGGTGCCCGCACGGACCGCCCTGCCCTCCTGCGCCAGCAGCTCCACGATCAACCGACCGGTGCGACCTGACACACACACGGACAGACAGGCACACAGAACCAACTAGTGTGTGGCTGCAGTCATTGGTCGTGTTGCAACAGTGCATTCATTCTCACCTCCGGCGCCCAGCACACACACAGACGCTGCTGAAGGCTTGACAGCAGCTGGCGGCGTCGCGGTTGCAGCACTCTCAGCCGCCTCCTCAGCAGCAACAGCAGGCGCCCTCATCTGGTCAAGCACCAGCAGTCCCAGGCCAGCAGACATGGATCTCTCCAGCAGAGCTCGGCGTGAGTGCTCCTCTGTGCCGACAATGTCAGGGCCCATCCGGAGGCTCGTCGGCGGATCTGTGTGCCTTCGTGGAGAGTGGCGGATGGGAGGCGGGCCATGCCATTGGGTGGCTGGTGATGATGGGATCTGGAAGGCTAATGCCCCGGTAGCGACGATTGGAACGGAGAGGGCGAGAAAGAGCATGTTTGTCGCCGAGAGCTAAGCTTGCAGCGCGAGCTCAAACCGACTGCTCCCCTCGGGCAGACAAAGTTCCCCACACACACCCCAACGTTCCCACACTCTCAGTGAAGACAGCCATCCAGCTCTGCAAACGACGTTCTGAAGCGACTTTGACCGAGCCCCAACCGACGCCCTCAACCAACGTGTTTCGTCCGATTTGACCACCGCCCTGCCTCCAAAACATGACGGTAAGGCAGCACCGATGCGGCCAAGAGGTCCCCTCCAGGCCCACGCCGAAAAACACAGAGCCATCAGACAAGACACCGGGGTGTTTGCTTGTGCGCGTGTGTGTGTGTGTGTGTGGTGCGGTGTGCAGGAGAACAGCCGCAAGCTGCTGACGGCCGCCCGGATGGGCCAGCTGAAGGAGTGCGACACACTCGTCAGACAACAGGCAGAAATCGACTTCGATGAACCGCCGGTAACTTAGAGAGACGACGTGGTGACCCACCCCCCATACATGTGTGTGTGTGTGTTGTAGTACCATCGGACGTCGTTATGGCAGGCGAGTTGGAAGGGTCACGAGAACATCTGCAAGTACCTGCTAGACAAGGGTGCGACGGTGGACAAGGCCGACTTTGAGAACAGGACGCCCCTCCACGAGGCCTCCTACTACGGCCACATCAACATCGTCAACCTGCTGCTCGAGAGGGGGGCCAACCTCAACGCTACTGACAAGGTCCGTGTGTGTGTGTGTGTGTGTGTGTGTGTGGGAGGGGGTTGGCATGGATGATGGATGCCAGTGTGACCTTGACTGCACTGTCTTGTGTGTGTGTGTTGGTCCGTCAGTTTGGGTACACGCCTCTGACACGCGCAGTGATGGGCAAGAGACTGCCGGTGGGTAGATAGAGTGGCAGCTGGCCACCGGAGTGACTGAGTGTCTGTTCTGGTGTGTGTGTGTGTGTGTGTGTGTGTGTCAGATTGTTGAGCTCTACGTGAGCAAGGGCTGCATCCTCAACCTATGCGACCCCGTAACCACACACACACACACACACACACATACACACGCACGAATCAACGTATTGGCTTCCTGTCCTGTCTTTGTGCAGTGCGAGCTGACATCTCACCACGTGGCGGCCTTCCAGGGCAGCCCACACCTGGCACGATGGCTATTCTACAAAGGCGCCTGGTACAACAGGTCGGTACACACAGACATCACTCACTGGCGGATCTATGGACCACACGCACCTAACAGCCGCCCAGCAATTGCTGTCCGTGTGTGTGCCCATCAGATACACCCTCTCCGAGCGCACCGCCAATCAAAATTACAAGGTCACCATCCAGGAGTACTACCAGCAGCTCCAACAGGAGAAGGTCGCGGACCAGGGCGAGCCGCCAGCCACCGTCACAGCCGCACCGGCCGAGCCACAGGAGGGCGAGGTTCCCGCAGAGCAGCCCCAGCAGCAGCTCCCAGAAGGAGCCGAAGACGCGGCGTCGTCAGCCGAGGGCGAGGGCGAGGCTGCTGAGGCTGTGGGAGAGGAGGAGCGCGAGGCGTCTGTGGCTGCAGACGAGGAGGGAGAGGCCGGCGGTGCTGTGGAAGAGGACCATGACGGCGGCGAGGCTGGGGAGGCCGGAGCTGCTGAGGGCGAGGGCGAGGGGGAAGTTGCTGTGGAGTCGGCCGAGGAGGCCCCTGCAGAGGAGGAGGAAGCACCAGAAAATGCTCAGCCGGTAAGGGGAGGGCGGGAGGGGGGGCACAGACAACCCCCACACACGCACACACATCAGCAGGCAAGCGATATGGACTGTCTGTCTGCCTGTCTGTATGTCTGCCCTGTCGGTGTGCCATCCATGCAGGTGGGTGAGATTCGAGAGGAGGGTGAGGCGGCCGAGGGGGCGGGTGAGGGCCAGCCAGCGGCCGACACCAATGGAGCTGAAGAGAAAGGCGATGCTGGGCCACAAGACGCAGCAGCATCGGGTGTGGAGGAGGCCTAGCCAATCGGTCAATGTGGTCTGCCAATGGAGTCCCAGACAGACGAGCCGTATGGACACCGCGTACGTATGAGTGACGGGATGGATGCCGTATGTATCTGTGTGTGTCATTATTTTCTACAAATCGTCCGTCCAAATTCAAGATAAATAGATAGTCGTGCGTGAGTGAATGCACCGAGTAAGGGAGACAGACACGAGTGCGATGGATGGATGGCAGATAGACGGACTGACTTGCTGAGTGAGTTGCTACATGGGGCGGGGGGAGCGATCTTCACATATATTTTGACCGACCAGCACACACACACTATTGGCTGAACGAATGCCACGTATGGATCGCTGCATCGATGCAGCGAGGGGTCAAATAGATCTGCCCACGCACTGCACTGGCGCACACATGTGCTCCCACGCTCGCATGGCACACGACAGATACGACAGACATGCAATCCGTCCTCCACCCGCTCGCATCCTCCACACCCCCCAATGCTCGCTATTCACTGCCAACCCACCCCCCCACACCCCAACATGAGTGAGTACTCACATCTACCCCATCCATTATCCGTCAGCTACTCAGTCGTTTTTGCCCTTTGCAGGGCCGCCCCCCCGCGGCATCAGCGGCCCCACAAACTTGCCCACCAGACCGCACTCGTCGCCCCCGCTCCTCGGCGGCACACACACGTCACCAAAAGCACCAGCAGCACCAGCAGCACTGTATCGGCTGTCGTCATCGCTCAGGCAGGTGCTGCCGATCGACGTGGTCCGTGCAGAAGGGGTGGAGATGGAGAAGGACTGCACGGAGGCGTTTGTGTCGTCGTCGGTGTTTGTGGGTGGCTGCTGGGTGAGGGGGACGTCCTGTTTGGTCTGTTTCTTGCTCTGTGTGGTGTGGGAGGGGGCGGGGGCCATGGGGATGCCGGCGCCGGTGGTAGGCCGGTGGTAGCTTGTGTAGGGGGTGCGGGGATACTTGGAGGGGAACAGGTGGAACAGCGAGGAGGGGGCCTTGTCACGGCGACTGACAGACAGACAGAGAGGCAACAAGAGATCGAGACACCAATGTGCACAGCGGCCTACTTGATGATTCTCGCCACAATTGCCACGATAATGGCCACCACAAGTATGCCGATCACCCAGCGCCACCAAGAGTGCCCCTTGCCCCCCGCATGTCCGGCGCTACGGTGGTCCTTCTTGGTCTGCTTGTGTGCGTGTGCCGTGTGCTGATGTTTCTCCTGGACCTTGTCAGCGAGCCTTCGGTGGTGGGGCAGCTGGCCCACCTTGCCGACGGCCTCGTGGGTGTGCTGCAGGCTAACCATACACTCCTTACTCAATGAGCCTTCCTGATAATAAATGGCATCCCATCCAACACACACACACACACAGACAGAGGGCAGTGGCCGTGTGTTGGGGGGATGGGGGCGGATGGGGAGGGATGGTCACTTACTTTGTGGTTGAGGCATGCGGCTACGTCTGTGAAGAGGGATGAGGTGGTGCAGTGCTCCTGGATCTCATGGGCACACGCAAACGGCACCTGCATGGGGGTGGGTGGCAGCGTAACAACCACGCGCGCAGAGAGCAGGATAAGACATACCCCACCCACCAGCCCTGACCGGCCCTGTCTGTGCTGAGTTGACATGCTCACTGAATGTCGGATTTTGTCTCTGCATTTGGGCGACACGTCATCCTTGTGCAGACCCAGACAAAACAACGTGCTGATGGTCGTGCTGGCGTATGGCAAACACACACACACACACCGGTTGGTTCCACGTATCTCCTTTTCTGTCTTGCCTCATCGCCCCAACCCACCACTGTAGTTTGGCTACGTCATCTTCGCATGCGAACCGCTCGTCTTTGGGAGCGCTCTGCAGGTTCTTGATGATGTGCGGGACCAAAGGCAGCGCACTGTCGAAGATGTCATTGAAATTAAAAATGTCGTGGTCCAAATCTGCACAACAGACAGACAGACAGACACAGGGAGAGAGAGCGACACACGCATCAAAAGCGTCAGCGCACTTCCCGCCCGTCTCCCGCCCTGCCAACCTGATGGCACGTATGTGGCCTTCATGGTGACCTTGGTCGCCACACTGGGCTTCTTGCCCCTCCCTCGCCCGCCATTGCCCACCACTGACGGCGGCGGGGGCGGCAAAAACTCTATAGGGAACAGCTTGGGTAGGTCGTGCTTCAACGGCACAAAGTCGGGGTCATGATGCAGTATGTCCCCAATCAACGAATGCACCCCGTCGTCCATCCCCATGTCAAAGAGATCATCCAGTGGGCTCCGCCCGCCGCCTCCTGGGCCGCTATGCACCATCCCGGGCGGTCTGGGGCCGTTCATGGAGATGACCACGACCTCATCGGGAGCGGCAGGGCCGCCGTGTGTGCCGTGGATGCTGCCCGGAGGCGGTAGTTTGTCGAACACGTTGAAGAGGTCGGCGAAGATGGAGTGGAATGGCGGCGGCAGAGGGAAGCCTGGCGGGGGCAGCGAGTGGACTCTCTTGGGGAAGTAGGGCACCTTGAAGGGCTGCGCTACGCCGTCCTTGATACCGTCACGACGGAGCCGCGGGGAAGGGCCGGGCAGCACCATGGGCGGCGCCTTGGCGGGGTTGGGAACAGGGATGGGCACGTCCTGCGTGTCGGCCGACGTGTGGCTATCAGGTGCCGGGGGAGGGTCCTCTGCACTGGCCGCACCCGCCACGAGCACCAAGAGGAAGAGTAGAGGGGTAATAAGCCTCGATAGCACTGCAGATGGCTTCATGGTGTGCCCGTCAGCAGTGTTGTCTTTCTTCTCCAAGAAATGTGGCTCTTCAGAATCCGCGGTGCGCCACCGGTGCGAATTCGACGTTGGCTTGGGAACGGCAATAGGCAAGAATGCACCGTTGGAGCCTTGCTCTGCCTTCCGGTGCGAGCTTCGATTGCGTTCGTTTGGCGATCCTTGCGACGATTGCATGAATACCATTCCGCCGTACACAGACGCGGCAGCACGAGTACGCACAGACTCTTCCATATATCGATGTGTGTTCATCCAGCGAGTACGTGAGTGTCGGACGCACACCCGAGTTGACTCTGCGTGCTCATGGGACTGTATTTATTTGTATGAGTGTCACGGACACACAGACGAGTGTTACGGTTAATGCAAGCCGTCTCTCTAGTGAGGAACTGCCGGCTACAGACAGGGGGTCTTGATAAAGGCAACACGTACAGAAAAATGGACATCTAGACGTGTACACGCATGGCATGGCATGGCACGCACATCTCATGTTCGCTTGATCGACCGGACTGTCAGGCCTTGTGGCTTATAGCTGAGCAACCAGACAGACAGACAGACAGACAGACAGCAGAAGAGAGAGCTAGCTGTCACGTGTTTCGTATCTTCTGTTCTGTCGTGTTGTGGTAGATAGGGCACGTACGTGACGGCAGAGACCGGAGTGGGCTCTTGGATGACCTCAAACTCATAGCGAGTAAACAGGACAGCCATCGTCAGACGAACCTGACAACCACAGACACGTACAGACAGACAATGGTCCCTCCTTTACGGATCTCTCTCCCTCTTCCTCTTGTGTCGTGCTGACCTCGATCATGGCCAGATTGGTCCCGATACTGAGTAAAGCAAAAGAAGCAGGACAGCCAAACATCCCACTGGTCCTCTTCTTCCATTCATTCCTCGTGTGTGATGCTGTGACGCTACTCATGGACTCACCATGATCTGGGTGCCATAGAGAATGGTTGAAAGGCCTTGTTGTAGAGCTTGAGTTGCTCCTCGCTGGCCTCAAGCCACCGCTCGGGACGAAACACGTTGCCGTCACCCCAACTGACACACACCCATCCTATGAAGGATGCAAGCACGGTGCGTCAAAATTTCTAGATTGCGCGTACATTCTGTCGTCTGTGAGGACGGGCATGATCGCTGCGTAGATCTCGTATCCGCCAGGAAGCCAGTAGTCGACACCGCCCGAGGTGACCTTCATGCCGCCCTCGGTCTGGCGGATACTGCCGTTGGAAGCCACTGGTGAGCTGACCGACCAGAGGGACAGAGGGACACCGACAAGGCACACATCGATGACCGAGGGGCGTGCCTCATTCGTTTTCGGTTTACATTCGCATGATCTCTTTGATGCAGGCGTTGAAGTACGGCAGCGGACTCAGCTCCTCGTAGGTCGGCAAGTCGCCCGCAAAATCGGCACCGTCCAGCTCCTGCACGCGACACAGATGGCCGTCTGGTGTGGCGGATGGCCGTGTCTTCATTCGTGTGGGTTGGCTGACCTGCTGCAGTTTCTTGAGCACACGCGGATTCTTGGCCAGATGATAGACGCCCCACGAGATGGTAAAGCCCGTCGTGTCGTGACTTGGGATGCACAAAACACCAGGACAGATGTCAGTCAGCTCAGCTGTGGGATGCATTCATCTTATCTCTGGTGTGCATGTGTGTCTGGGGGTTGCCTTCTCTCACCCAGCCAAGAACAGCATGAAGATGTCGCCAATTCTCTCGAAATCGCTCGCGTAAGGGGCCTTGTGAATGTGAAAAATGATCGACGTGGGCTGCTCAACCAACACAGACACACCAACGCAATGAAAGGGCAGAAGGCTCTCGCCCTCTCTCTGTTTGTTCCATCCGTACGTCTCGTTGCTCTGGCGGCGTATCCAAGAATTGTCGATACATCTCCTGACACAGACGCCGGAACATCCCAATAGCACCGTGATACCTCCGCACATCACTCAACCGATACATCCAATGCCTGCGATGCATCACATGCACACACGGACACACACCAACACGAAAGTTGCATACGCGCAATTGGCGGGCACCGACCTCAGCGGATTGACGAACAAGTGCCGGGCTTCCTTCGAGTACTCATGGATGGCTGCCAGCAGGGCGAGGGCTTCACTGTTGCGCTCGTCGTCAAAGGCATGGAAGGGATAACTGACAAACAAAATGGGGAAGAGCAAATGGCCTCCCTGCCTACTATGTTCCGTCTTTGGCTCGGCACGAACTTAAATGCGACTTCTCCGATCATGTTGAGAGTGAATCGGGTGGCCCACTCGGGTATATTGATGGACAAGCCCTTCTCGGCCGCGTGCAGCGCGGTACACGAAGCATACAGTGGCACACTAAAAACTGTCTGTTGATCGATCAGACCTCATTCATCAGTCATCCATCAATTCTTCCCTCAATTCATCGCCAGTCATGCGGACATCAGCGTGATCAGCTGGTACTGCTGCCGCAGCTGCTGCTGGGGGGACACCGTCATTCATCATGTCCTCCTCGTCCCTGCCTGCACCTGGACACGGGCAACCACACAACCATGAACACGACACACCTGGCTTTTCATTGCCCCGGGCCCTCTTCACCGACCTTCTCCGCCATCCCCGTCCCCATCACGGTCGTCGAGGGGAGACACAGACACGTCAGGCCTCTGCG